GTGATTTCTGACCATTCTACTAAAAAGCATTTCTCAGTGTGTTGAACAGCAAAATGTCCAATTCAATATATTTCTGATACACATCATGCTAATGTGCATATCTCAGCGAGAAAAGCAACATTGCACATTAAGAAACACATTCTCTGGTAACTTATTAAAATGTAATGTTAATCATATTAAAGTGCATATCTCAGAGATATAAGCAACTTTGCACATCAAAAACAACATTTCTGGAAACTTCTTAAAATCTAACGTACACCATACTAAAGTGCATATCTCACTGAAGTAAGCAGATTGGCAAATCAAAATCTTCAATTCAATCACACTTGTTGAAATCTGATCTAGATCTGACTGAAGTGCATATCTCACAGAGATAAGCACATTGCCACATCAAAATCTCAAATTCAGTCAAAGCACTTAAAATCTGATGTTAACCATAGTGAAATGGATATGTCAGTGAGAGGTAAGCACCTTAGTTTCCATTTTCACCAAACCACTTTCAGCATTAAGCACATGCTACTAAAGTGGATATCTCAGTGGGCTAAGCAAAGTTCAACATCAAAATAACTCATTCAATCACAATTCTTACATTCTAATGCATATCGTACTAAAGTGCATATGCCAGTGAGATAAGCAACATTGCACATCAAAAGGAATAATTTGAATCACACCTTAAAATCTAACCTAGATCATATGACATTGCATATCTCACTTCGATAAGCAGATAGGCACATCAAAATCCACATTTCAATGAGACTTCTTTGAAATCTGATATGTTTCATGCAAAAGTACACAACCTCAGTGTGATAAGCACCTTGGCACATCTAAATTTTCAAATTCAGCAACCGTCTTTAAGCCTGATACAGATGCTACTTTAGTGCCTATCTCTGTGAGATAACCAACTTTGAGCAGCAAAATGTCCAATTCAGTCAAATGTCCTAAATTTTGATTTCGAAGCAACTGAAATGGATATCTCAATAAGATAAATACATTACCATATCAAAATCTCCAATTCAATCAAGTTTCTCAAAATCTGATGTAGATCATACTGAAGTACTTCCCTCAGTTCAATAAGCACACAGGCACATCAAAATCTCCAACTCAATCAGACTCCTTGAAATCTGATGCACATGCTACTAAAATGCATATCTCAGTGAGACAGGCAGCATTGCATATCAAAATATCCAGTTAAATCAACCTTCTTAAAATCACTGTAGATCATACTAAAGGGCATGTCACATTGACACAAGTGTCTTGGCACACCAAAATCCCCATTTCTGGCAGCTGTCTTTAAATCTCATGCAGATGCTCTTGAAGTGCATATCTCAGTGAGATAAGCACCTTGGCAAACCAAATTTACATTTCTAGCAAACTTCTTAAAAGTATGGATCATACTAAAGTACATTTCTCAGTTAGATAAGCACTATGGCACATCAAAATCTCCAACTCAATCAAACTTCTTAAAATCTGACGCACATGCTACTAAAGTGCATATCTCGGTGAGATAAGTATCTTTGAACAGTAAAATGCCCAATTCAAAAAAAAACTTAAATTCTGATTCAGGTCATAATAAAGTGCATATTTCGGCAGGATGAGCAACGTTGAACAACAAAAACCACATTTCCTGCAAACTTCATACAATCTAATGTAGATCTTACTAAAGTATATATCTCCCTGCGATAAGCAGATTGGCACATAAAAGCCTCCAATTCCATCATACTCTTGAACTCTGATTCAGATCATTATGAAGTGCATATCCCACTGATATAAGCATACTGCCACATCAAAAATTCAAATTCAATCAAACTACTTAAAGTCTGATGTTGACAATGGTGAAGTGCATATCTCAGCAATTTGGTACATCAAAATCTTCAATTAACTAAGACTTCTTAATTGGAAGTCTGAAATAGTTTGTACTAAAGTACACAACCTCAGCGAGATAAGCACCCTGGCAATCCAAACTGTCAATTCCACCAAACCTCTAAGCCTGATGCAGATGCTATTTTAGTGCATAACTCAGTGAGATAAGAAATTTTGAACAGCAAAATATTCAATTCAGTCAACTGTCTTTAATTCTGACTTAGATCCAACTAAAATGCATATCTCAGTGAGATAAGCAAGATTGCACATCGAAAAGCACATTTCTTGCAATCTTCTCAAAATCTGATCTACATGCTTCTAAACTACATATCTCAGTGAGATATGTACATTAGCACGTCAAAACCTTCAACTAAATCGACTTTCTTAAATTCTGGTGCAGATCATACTAAAGTATATATCTTGGTGAGATAAGCAGATTGGCACATCAAAATTGGCACATTCAATCAAACATTTTGAAATCTAATTTAGATCATACCAAAGTGCATATCTCAGAGAGATAAGCAATTTTGCACGCCAGAGACAACATTTTTGGAAACTTCTTAAAATTTAGTGTAGATCATTCTGAAGTGTATAACTCAGAAAGATGAGCAACTTTGCAAATCAAAACTTCCAATTCAATCACACTTCTAGAATTCTGATGTAGATCGTACTGAAGTGCATTTCTCACTGATATGAGCACATTGCCACATCAGAATCTCAAATTCAATCAAACAACTTAAAATCTGATGTTGACCATACTGAAGTCCATATCTCACTGAGATAAGCAGATCAGCACGCTATAACTTCCAATTCAATCAGACGTCTTGAAATCTGATACACTTATTACAAAGAACTCAACCTCAGTATGATAAACTCCTCGGTATATGCAAATCTTCAATTCAAACAATACTATTTAAAACCTGATGCGGATGCTGCTTAAGTGCATATCTCAGTGAGATAAGCAACTTTGAACAGCAAAGTATACTTCTTAAATCCTGATGTTGATCCTACTAAAATGCAAATCTCAGTAAGATAAGCAAGAAAACTACATTTCCTGCAATCTTCTCAAAATCTGATGTACATGTTTATCTTACTGAGTTATGCAGTTTACTAGCATCCACAATAGGTTGAAAGAATATACAAACATTTTGATTAACTTTTCTACAAATGTTGGTTTTAATGTGCAACGTTGCTTATCTAACCAAGTTATGCAATTCAGACATATGTACTATGGATATTAAGAATATGTCAGCACTTTGAAGAACTTTGCTACAAATGTTGATTAAATTGAATTCCTCATCCAAAAGACTTGCAAACAACTTGAAGATTGCCATTCTCAAATTTTATTCAGTCCATTTTCACATTTACAATATTGGCAGAAGTGGCTGCCCTGGTGAATAGCAATGATTCACAGAGTCCATGCTAGCTTTGTTTCGTTGCCAATCTGTGTTTCTGAAGGAGCTGATGTAAGTATGAGAGCATGTTCAAGTTAATTTGCATCAAACAGGCTCTCCCTAATTGGCTGCCTTGCTAGTCAGTGGGGCTCTTCATTCAATAGGGATGATTGACGCTTCAGGAAAAAGGGTGGACCAGATTTCTCTGGCATTTCAGAGGTATTTAACACGTTCTCCGACTGAATGCAGTGCATGATGCTGCGATGGCCATTCAAAATTGAATAGTTTGCCTTCTCTGGTAAGAATGGGCTCCATGCCACACAAAGAACATTGCAATGAATGAGAGGTGACTGCACTGAAGGTGATATCCAAGCTGAAATTTAAGACCCGGGACTGGAATTGTTCAAAGAACAGATTCCAGGATGATAGCTTTGAGTTGCTTCCAATTATGGAAGAACAGGCTACAGGTGCGGATAGAGGAAACAGCTGCTTTCAGGGAGGTGGCAAATCGGCCAAAAGTTGCAAGATTACAGATATCTAGAATGGCGATGAGGAGCAGTGCGTAGCGTCTTCATAATACAACTCACCAAGCCTCCTCCCAGAGCACCTCACAAATTGTCGATCCCCACCATCGAGGAAGACAAGGGCAGCAGATTATAGGAGCACCGCACCATCTACAATTCTCCTTTGAGCCACGTGCCATCCTGACCTGGAAAAAATTCACTATTCGCTCAGTGTTGCCAGTTCAAAATCTTGGAACAACCATCCTGTTGGCATTGTAAGTAACATTACGCCCAAACTGCAGCAGTTCAAGGCAGCAACTCCCAACCACCTTCTAAAGGGGCACCTGGAGATGGGCAACGAATGCTGGCCCAGCCAGTGATAGCCACATCCCAGTCAAGTATCAAATTGTCTGTAGACACCAAAGTTTGGGAAATTGTGGAAGTCCCATTCAGAGTTAAACATTTGAACCCAGTTTACTTTCAGGATCAAGAGAACGCAAGGGAAAGATAGTGTCGCTGAGTCAAACATGGAGAATGCTGGAGAAAGTAGGATAATGAGGTGGCTGTTCTTGACTGGTGCAGACATTTTGCCTGAAGGACATTATTCTGTGCTGTAGACCTCTAAGACTCTCAACTTAGCAGGTCTGGCAGCATCTTTGGAAAGAGAAGCGGAGTTAACGTTTCGAGTCCAGTGACCCTTCTTCAGAACTTCCAGACTGGAAACACTTAACTCTCTCTCACTCCACAAGGATGCTTCCAGGCCTGCTGAATTTCTCCAGCGTCCTCTGGGTTTCTTTCAGACTGCTGGCCATAAATAGTTTTGTTTTCATGACAAGGGTGAATGCTGGCACAAGGTGGACAGGGAAAACTGCCAGCCCACCCACCAGTGATGGAGATTCCCAGTATTTTGCATGCCAAATACCCAAAGTCTGCAGCAACGTAGAGTTAATCTTTGCATTTCTCTGTGGAGAATGGACTCTGAACACTGATTTGTACGGGCTCCGAAGGATGGAAAGCAGGCACAGGGCCTTGTTGAGTGAATAAGACTTGTGAGGTGTTGGTGAGATGGGGAGAAAGGGTGTGAGCTGGTCTTAAGCCTCTTTGCTCAGGTCCCACAATAGCCCTACCCTATTTTCCCGGCTGCTAATTTTTCTTGGTGCCCCACAGTGCCATCACTGCCTGCTCTACACAGCTCAACAAGCAGCAGAGTCTCCTGCTTTGCTGCCATACCATGGGGCGTCCCTCAATGCCCCCATGCCCACCGCTCCCTCTGCCAGTGTGCTCCAGGCTCACCTGCTGGTGCCTCCGGGCACAGCCTGCTCCCGTGCCAGTCCTCCCAGCTGATGCTGGGCCCCTTTTCCCAGCCTGTCCTGACCGGGCTCCCAGCCCCCCGTGGGGCTGCGCGCTCACCAGTGTGCACCCGCTGGTGGGTGAGCAGGTGGGAGCTGCGGGTGAAGCCCTTGCCGCAGACTGGGCAGGGGAAGGGCCGCTCGCCGGTGTGGGTGCGTTGGTGCCGCAGCAGGGTGGAGGACTGGGTGAAGGTCCGGCCACAGAGCGAGCAGAGAAAGGGCCGTTCGCCGGCGTGCACCCGCTGGTGCCGCAACTGGTTGGACATCTGCGTGAAGCCCTTGCCACAGATGGCGCAGCGGAAGGGCCGCTCGCCGGTGTGAATGTGCCGGTGCGTCAGGAGGTGGGAAGACTGGGTGAAGCCCTTGCCGCACACTGAGCAGGTGAAGGGCCGCTCGCCGGTATGCACCGGCCGGTGGGTTAGTAGGTGGGAGCTGCGAGTGAAGCGCTTGCCACACACCAGGCAGCTGAAGAGTCTCTCGCCGGTGTGGCTGCGCCGGTGGGTCTCAAGCTCTGACGGGTAGTTAAAGCCCTTGCCGCAGTCACTACACTTGTAGGGCTGCTGGCCGGTGTGACTGCGCATGTGTATGTTGAGGTTGGACAAACGGCTGAAGGCACAGTCGCACAGTGAGCACGGATACGGCTTCTCACTGGTCTGCCTTGGCTCCATCTTCTCTGGCCCGGCAACTCTCAGCTTCAAGGCTTGGGACGTATGCGGCTCCCGAAAATCCTCCTCTTCCGACATCCTGAAAGTGTAAAGGAGGCAAATGCAGTCACGACACACTTCATACACAGTCACCTGGGAATACGAGAATTGCTGGAATAAAAAAGGACACATTTTGTTAGAGCTTATTGCTTGGCACTGATCAGGACACTTTGTAAGAATACTGATTCTAGGGGGAGAGAAAAAAAAGAGAAGTGCTGATTGGTTGCAAGCGAACTGTGGTTCAGGTGTTGCCATGGAGAATGCACCAGTTAATGCTGATTGAAAGTTCAGTCATACGTTAAGAAGAGGACCTTCTACCCTTGAAGTCTGCACTTACTCAAACATACCATCAACTATCTACACTTGTGCCACTTCCTGCACTTGGCTCATCGCTTGAATGTTATGACATTTAAAGGGCTCACCAAGTAATTTTTAAAGGTTGTGAGGTTTCTCACCTCAACTACCCTGCTGGTAGTGCACTCCAGACCTTCACCACCCTCTGTATAAAAAGGTTTTTCCTCACACCCCCTCTAAACCACTTGCCTTTCAGCTTAAGATTATGCCCCCTTGTTACTGACCCTTCAACTAAAGGGAACAGCTGCTATTCACTCTGAATATGCTCCTCATGATCTTAAACATTTCTACTAGGTCATCCTTTGTCTCCTCTGCCTCAAAGAAGACAACCCGAGCTTATCCAGTTAACTGCGAGAGACTTTGTTTAAATTTTTAAACTGGGCGGGTTGATGATGGCACATCTGGGCCAGTGTTGGCCAAATGAACAAGCAAATGGCTAATACATGCATTAAAAAATGTTCTTTTTGTCGAAAAAGAACAGGGTCCTATGCTTCCGGTACACAGATGTAGCTTGCAGTACACACTGTGAACCTGACTGTCAATCTTAAACCAGTTGTTAGTCTAATTCCTGGCACACTTGGGATTATCCAGCAAATGTTGTCCAATCACAGAATTGCATCAAACACTGGACAAGCTTCAATAAAATGCATCTGTTTTCAGCAATCCTTCACACAAATCTAGCACACATGCTGATATATTTTATGGGCAATGAAGGCATTTTGAATTCTCGCCACCAATATGAAGTTTAAACTGGTTATAGGTTAGTGTGGTTAACATAGAACATAGAACCATACAGCACAGAAATGCGCCCTTCGGCCCAGGATGTTGTGCCGAACATGACGTCAAATGAAACAAATTCCTTCTGCCTGCCCTTGTTCCATATCCCTCCATTCCTTGCACATTCATGTGCTTATCTAAAAGTCTCTTCAATGCCCCTATTGTATCTGCCTCCACCACCACCCCTGGCAGTGCATTCTAAACTCCTGCTACTCTGTGTAAAAAAACTAGCCCCTCACATCTCCTTTGAACTTTCCTCCTGTAACCTTAAATGCATGCTCCCTAATATTAGACATGTCAACTCTAGGAAAAAGATTCTGACTGTCAAACCTATCTGTGCATCTCAAAAGTTTTATAGACTTCTATCAAGTCTCCCCCTCAGCCTATGCCGCTCAAGAGAAAAACAACCCGTGTTTTTCTAGCCTCTCCTTATAGCTCATACCTTCTAATCCAGGCAGCGTCTTGATAAACCTCTTCTGCACCCTTTAGTTAACAACTAATAAAGGCAAGCATGCCATATGCCTTTTTAACCACAGACTAATTGGGATTTTTTGCTACGAGGTTTTATTTTATTTTAATTTGAATATCTGCCATTTCTGTTAATAACTTCTTCCTTTATCCCTAAGGAACTTTTAGTGATGATGAACCTAAAGAACTAAACTGACCCACGACCAGTTTGAACCAAAAGCTTGACTACTGGTCCCCTGTTTAGCTTTGAACCATAAAAAAAAAGCGGGGGTTCTAAGTGAGCAATATCAATCAACAGGTTTGGAATGTGCCCAGCAGTTCTGTCAATAACCTGATCAGTTATGTCACAGAAGGAGATCATTCAGCCAATTGAACCCAAGCAAGCTATCTGCAGAGTGATCCAGTCAGTGCGGTTTCTGCTGCTGTAATCCTCTGCAGCCCAGTTTTATCTCCTTCTCAACTGTCTGTGCAATATCTCTATGAAATCATTCACCATCCCCTCTTCTGTGCTTCCTAAGCAAAGTGAGTGTACTATCGCCGAGTTTGGACATGGCACAAAAGTACGTAGGGAGGTAAGTGGTGAGAATGGCAGAGTTCACAGAGGGACATAGACTGGTTGGTTAGTTGAGTGGGCAAGAAAAAAGAGTGGCAGATTGAATATGGTGTGGGGAAATGTGAGGTTATCATGCAAGTTCAGCGGGAAATAGGGAAAACAAATAGAATGTTGGCCTTTATTTCAAAGGGAATAGAGAATAACAACAAGGAGGTTTTGCTAAATGTGGACAAGGTACTAGTGAAGACAAGGCACTAGTCAGATCACAGCTGGACTATTGTGAGCAGTTTTGGGTCTCGAATGTAACGAAAGGTAGAATGACATTGGATGCAGTCAAAAGAAGCTTCACTAGGCTGATTCCACCTATGGGAGGACTGTCTTAAGAGGAGAGGTTTAGTAAGTTTGAAAGTAGAGGAAGGAGAAACATGAGGCTCTGTAGCCAGTAAAGCCTCAGAGTAAGTGAAGGACAGAGACAGAGGAGAGGAGGAGGAGGAGGGAGGGCAAAGAGAGTGAGGGAGGGAGAAAGAAAGCAGAGAGTGTGAGGGAGAAACAGTGAAAGAGCAGACATTGTGAGGGAGAAATAGAGAGAGAGAAAACAGACAGTAATGCGGGTAGATGGAGAAAGAGCATATAGTAAGCAAGAGAAAGCAAATAGTGAGGGAGCAATATAGAGAGAGTGCAGAGATTGAAACAAAGAGACAAGAAATGAAAGAACAAAGAATGTGAGAGAGAGAGGGCAAGAATAAGGGACACAGAGTGCGAGAATGAGGAGGAGAGGGCTGGGAGAGAGAAAGAGAGAAAACACAGAAGAGGGGTGGGCCAGAGAGAGAGAGATTGGCCCAGAGAGAGTGACAGGCCCCCCAGATAGAGAAGGGGTAGAATAAAGAGGGAAGGACATGTGGTGGGAAAAGAGAGTGAGAGGAGGGGCAGAAAAAGAGGTGGCCAGAGAGGGAGAGAGAGAGACAGACAGAGACAGAGAGATGAAGCATAGTGTAGTTGAAGGCAGGGAGAGAAAGGGAATGAGAGAAGGGCCAGAAAGAGAGAATGAAAGCAGGAAGAGAAAGAGACAGTGAGAGATGAACATCTAAGATAGAGGAGGACAGAGGGAGAGACAAAGAGGATAGAAGGCCAGTAGGAAACAGAGAGAGGGAGAAGTGGCCAGAGAGGGAGACGGAGATGGACAGTGAGAAAAATGAGAGCAACTGTGCAGAGGGAGCCATGGTTGGCGGGGAGTATCGGGAGAGAGTGAGAGAAGGGACACAGAGTGAGAGCAGGCACAGATTAGAAGGAATGACAAGAGAGAGTGAGTGTGAGGTGTCTCTGAGAAAGGGGAGGCCAGAGAGAGAGAGAACAAGGGGGAGAGTGAGAAGAGGGCCAAAGACAGACAGTGAGTGCAAGAGGGAAAGAGACAGCGAGAGGGGAACAGAGAGAGAATGGTTTCCAGAGTGACGGAGAGACAGCAAAAGGGCCAAAGAGAGGAGGCTGGTGTGACAGGGTAGGAAGAGAACCAGAAAGAGAAAGGGTATCGATGAAGAGAAAGAGACAGAGAGATGGCATGAGAGAGAAAGAGAGTGTGTATTGGGGTCAGAGAAATGGCAGCGGGTGGGGTGCAGAAAGAGAGAAAGGAGAGAGAGAGGCAACAGACAGAAATAGAGAGAGGAGAGCCGAGAGGGGGTGGGATAGTGATTGTAATAAGATCAGCCAGGTCATCTTCCAAATGTGAGTTCCCTTATTGAACCAGGTTAACAGCCTCAAATCAGGAGTCCTAGCTGACAATATAAACAGGAGTCTCAGAGATTCAGTTCATCCTGAGAGCTGGCTCTGAGGGGAGCTGGATCAGCGTCAAGGACTCTCCACGTGTAAATATAGGGTGACTTGGTGACGGGATACCAGCCTTTGGGGAGTTATTTCAGTTGCCAGCAGAGTGGGATTAATGATGTAACCACGCAAAAGCACCTATTAGCTGAAGCCCAACTGGATTTCAAACAGGCACAACAACTGGCTACATTATTGGAAACTGCAGCGAGTGCAGCATATGAGTTGCAGGGAATTCTGATGGAAGTGGACACCCTCAGCAGTCTGACTGAGCTTGGGGAACACTACTTGAGTGAAAGCAATTGCGTAGCCTCACTCAGGACGTATCCCGAACACAGGGACTCTAGGTGAGCCCACAGCACAACCCCACAAAAGGCCGAACCTCAGCCAAACAGTTAACATTTTATTCAGGATCCATTGTAGTTGCTGCTGATATGCAGAGCCAAGACAGCAAAAGAGTACCACTAGACCTAAATTTAGTAAGGGAACTCCTCGTCTGGTATTCAGGAGAGTGCACACCCTGGCAAGTCCAGTTCAAAACAGTTAAATTGCTTTGCAACATCCAAATCAGAAACAAAATAAACATCTGGTTAAATAATCACCTGGTTCTAATGGAGGTTGATACCAGCACAGCCATTTCAGTGATCGCAGAACTAGCCTTTAACAAAATTCGCTCTGGACTTACTTGCGCAAGATCTTGGCTAGACTGAAAACCGTTACCGGGGAACCCCTACAGATTAAGGGCACAACTTTGGTTCCGGTCTCTTATGAGAAGCACCTGGTTCAGTTACCACTGGCTGAAGTAAAAGGCTCGGGCCCAAGACTAATGGGGCGAAATTGGTTGAGAAAGATTAACCTAGATTAACTCAACATTTCTCGATTAGTAAATGGCTGCCTGAGGGAAGTCCTAATTAAATACCCGCAAGTTTTTACAGGAAGCTCAAGGGACTATCAAAGGAGCCAAGGCCACCGTGCGTGTTGACCAGGAGGCAATTCCACGATTCTGCAAGGCCCACCCAGTGCCATTTGCCTTACGGGCTAAAAGTAGGGGCAGAAATCAGAAGGCTGAAAAGTGATGGCATCATCAAACCAGTCCAGCTTGTGGAATGGGCAGCACCAGTCGTACCAACTGTGAAGCCTAATG